GGTGTCCCCGGGGGTGGAGCCGCTCCCCCCACCCCGGGGCAGGCGGGGGTCGGGGGCTGCTCCAACGGGTGATGCTTAGGGGGTAACCAGTTAACTCTTTGCATCCCTACTGGGAACTTGAGCTGTTTCCCCCGGGGCTGGCTTGGCACCTATCTCCCGAAAGTGCCACCTTGGAAGCCCTGGTGCCTGGGATCCTCTGCCCCCCACGGGGATGCACGTGGGTCACAATGGGGCACCCACCCCCGTTCCTCAGCCGTAGCTTGACTCGGTGATGCTTAGGGGGTAACCAGTTAACTCTTTGCATCCCTACTGGGAACTTGAGCTGTTTCCCCCGGGGCTGGCTTGGCACCTATCTCCCGAAAGTGCCACCTTGGAAGCCCTGGTGCCTGGGATCCTCTGCCCCCCACGGGGATGCACGTGGGTCACAATGGGGCACCCACCCCCGTTCCTCAGCCGTAGCTTGACTCTCGTCCCGTCACTTCCTGGGGGCGCTGGAGCAGAGCCGGAGCCACCCCGCAGCCTGTCCCGTCAGCAGTGCACGGGGGCTGGGTCCCTGCCTTCCCCTGGTCTCCGGCTCTGCAGGAGACGAGGCTGCTGAGAGCCTTGCTCGGTCCGGCTGGGTGCTTTGCCCCTTGCAGGGAGCTTTGCGCGCAGGCGAGGTTGCCAAGGGGTGCGCGGGGCCGGGGAGGACGCAGACTGCCCGTTGTAGTCTGCCCTGCCTCAGGCTCGCTCTCTCCCCCGCAGTGGTGGGCCGGAAGGAGCTGTCCCGCCGCACGGTGAGCGTCCGCACGCGGGACTCCAGGCAGCACGGGGAGCGCGGCCTGCAGGAGGTGCTGCACAGGCTGCAGGAGCTGCGGGATGCCCGGCTCAGGAACGCAGAGGAGCTGCTCTGAGCCCGTCCCTGCTGGCTGTGGCCCTTGCCACTGGTTCGGCACCGCTCCCGGCCCAGGGAGGCGACGCCCGCCGCTCTCCCCCAGCACCGTCCCCGTCCCCGCCGGACACCCTGCTTCCCCACGGAGTCCACACCCGGGTGGAGGCCGCCCCCCGTGCACGCGGAGATCTGCCGGAGCTGTGTCCCACCCACAGAGCAGGAGCCACGTTAAGGGCTGGGGCCAACTGAGCGCGTCCTTCCCGGGCGCCAGGGGAAGAGGCAACGCACGTGGGCGCTGGATCAGAGCAGGGACTAGAGCCCGGCCGGAGGAAGACTGTTCCTGGAACTCGTTCGCTGGGCCTCAGGTCCCCTGGGCTGATTAAAACGTGCGTTGAAGTCGAGGCAGCGTGTCACTAGTGAGGTCTGGCAGGGCCGCTCGTACGCTGCTCGCTCTCGGCCGGGGCCCGGCTCTGAGCGGCTGGCGCGTGGCGCCCGGCGGGAGCGAGTGCGGCAGCTAGACGGCTGGCTGTCCCCTGCTCCGAAGTGCTGGGGGGCTGCAAGTCCTTCCCTTTGCCGCCGAGGATCTCCAGGCCAGGGGCTTGGTGCACAGTAATCCGCACCTCCCTGCCTGTGTGTCTGTACCAGATTGTCCCGGGAGGCAAGGCTCCAGTGAGGGCGGATTCCCCCACATTCACTCCTAGGGGGTTTCTGCCCCTTCCTCTGCACTGTCTGGTGTCCCAAGACGAGACTCCTGGTTGGGGGCCCACGAGCCTGATCCGGTCTGGTGATTGGTATGTTCTGTTGAGTCAGGACGCCTGGGTTCTCTCCCCAGCTTTGCTCCCGGGTGACTGGGCAAGTCGCTTCTCCGCCTGCCTTCCCTGTCGCGCGTTATCTCATAAAGCCCCCAGCTCTGACGGGCTAAGTGGGCTGCACCTACTGCACCTAGCTTCTGCATGGGGAAACTGAGGCATGGCATGATATTGCACCCATACACGCACTGGGCCCACGGGTGCTTGTGCCAAGTCACGCGGCACGTTGGGAACAGAATCCCAGCCCCCTGCGTTCGCCCCTGGGCTGTGCCCCCTTTCGAATGTGGGGTCATGCGGAGCTGGGCCTTTGGATTTACTGGCTGGGGAGAGAAACCAGCTCCCCTGCACACGCCGCCCGTGAATGGCTGGATTGTGCAAGCCCGAGTCACGGTGGGGAACGACCGGCGTCCGGGCCGCGGCGGCTCGCTGGCATGAGTAACGGTTGCACAAGGCCGGGAGGTGCCTTTTCCCATCTGTGGCTGCTGATGGTGCGTTCAAGTGCTTGTGAACACGCGTGAGACTTGCTCAATTTGAGCCAGGCAACCGCAGGGGCCTTCCCCAAAGCCAGGGTGGCTGAAAGGGTGATGCAGCAAGGGGGGGCGGCCTTAGCTCGCCAGGCCGCTGGGCTGGGGGGCTTTTGAGCTGAGCTGTGCAGGGGAGACGTCTCAGGAAATCCTGAGCCAGGGACCGTCCTGGGTGGTTGTACGGCACCTGGCACCCGAGGCTTGGAGGCCAGGGGGCTCCAGCCTTTGTAAGCACAAGATCACTCTTTGAATTGAAGTCAATCCAGGGTCAACCTGAGGCCCTGGTCCACCTCTTCTCTGAGGCCCCTCCCTGGTCGCTTGGCGGAGATGGGGTACCAGGGTGGAGGGAGGAGACACGCTGACATCAGTGCCCCCTTCTTCTTCCCTCGACCTGCAGAGCGAGGCTCCAGGGGAGGGGGGCAGCTCCAAGGCAGAGGGCAGGAGCGGCACAGCAGTGGGGTAGGGGCAGGACTTGTCTCCTGGCCAAGCCAGTCAGGATCACCTGTCCGAGGCTCCGGGATGGACCGATCGATCCCGATTGACAGGTTGGTGGTTGCTGCCCTACGATAATACAAATAAACCATCATAACACGTCACCCCAACGGGCCTTTAGGTCCCTTCGCAAAGGATTGGTGCAGCCAGTTCTGGGGTGGAACATGGGATGCTGTATCCAGCTTGCAGCACAAGGGGAGACACGGTGGAGGGGGGAATATCCATTCTTGGACCAACTCTGTGGATGGGGGAGACCAGCTTTCAAGTGACACAGATCTGCCTCCATTCTGGGGAAGGTGCTTGAGGTCACAGCTCAATACAAGACCAAACAGCTAAGTAGTTAGCACATCTTCTAAGGGCCATTCACAGTAGGGCAGGCTGGGAATACCCCAGTGGTCGTAGGACAAGAAGTGGGGATAGTGGGTTACGGAGTGTGGTCGTAAGCCGTCATTCCAGTGGCTTTGTTCAGGCTGTGATGTGTGGGGTGAGCAGAGCTGTGACCTTAAGCTCCCATGCTGGTCTCTGGAGAGCGGAGTGCAAGTGTCCTGTGAGGGCTGAGGTCACATACAGAGCAGCTCGCTCCCAGGTTGTAGGGTTCCCTTCCCCCCGAGAGTTCATTCAGGACCGCAGAGATTGTCTGGTTTCACCCTGACGGCTGCTAGCAGGGCGTTTCCTAGGGGCGTTCGATATTGATTAATTCAATCATCATGGAACTGTACAACGTCTTAGCAGTTACCTGATTATTTGATAGTCCCTGGCCGTGGGTCCGGCAGCCAGTGCTCTCCCAGCCGCTCTCCCGGGGAGCCTCCTGCCACCCTGCACTGCCTTTAAAAACTGGCTCCCTGCACAGACTGGGTCCCACTTACCGACCCGGGCTGCTGCCTCTGATACAGAGGCAGCAGCAGCCCCTGTCCACGGGGGGGCCAAGCTCTCTGTAACACAGGCTGCATCGGCATCCCACCTGTGCCTCCCTTCCTCCCCCGCACTGCTGCCTCTGTATCCGAGGCAGCAGCGCCGGGGTGGGGAGGTGGCTCCATGAAGCCGATGCTCATGGGGAGCTGGCTTTTAAGCTGTCTCCTCCCGGAGCACTGGCTCCTGCTTGCGTCTCCCAGCGTCTGTGGGAGGCAGCAAGGGGGGCAGGAGTGGAAAGCTGGCTCCCTGCACATACTGGCTGCCACCTGCCCCCCCCTTACTCTTTGTGCTGCTGCCTCTTTATCAGAGGCAGCAGCGTGAGGATGGGTGGAGCAGGCAGCTCTGCAGAATTGGGTGCTCGTGGGGAGCCAGCTTAAAAGCCAGGTCCGCACAGCTCCTCCCCCTTGCTGCCTCTGATACGGTGCGTGTTGTCGATAGGATTCACCAGTAAGCCCAGGTTTACGGGTTCATTGTTTACTCGCCTGTATGCTGACCTCCCCAGTAGTGCAGGGAGGAGGTGCGCTGCGCATTGTGATAGGCAGCATGAGTAGAGCCCTGCATGGATACAAGTTTTGTGTCTGCATCCTCACCTGTATCAAGTGGGCCTCCACGGGCGTGCAGGGTTCTGTGCATGAGACCCTTGAATTCAGAAGGCGTGCAGGGCTGCCCTAAGGGTTATGGGGGCCCTGGGGCTGGTGGCAGCTGAGGAGGGACAGTTTTTTAGAGATGTGATTTGATCGTCTTCAGCAACACACCTTTGAAATATTTGAAATCACATTTTAAACTCCGGGCCTGTTGTCTAACTCGGTCAGTTCAGACACGGACAGTCTAGATCTGGGGCTGGCACATGCCTGGGAATGGGCTTTGTTCCCACTGGAATGGCTTTCCCGGGTTCTGCTAATAGTTCTGCCGAGCTTTGTCACTTCTAAATTAACAAGATCCTCTCCGGAGGAAGCTGAGCCGCAGGAGAGGGACAGGAAGAGGCAGGTGGGTGGATATGAAGACCCAGCGGTGCCCCAAATTTTCAGGTGCCCATCACCGCGGCGTATTCTGTGTGTAAGTGAGGACGGCCCTGGCGGAAGCTGGCGTTCTCGGAAGGCTCTAGCTGGCATTGCCTGACCTGTTCTTGACGAGGGCACCTGCCCCTCGTGAACCCATTGACAGTTATTCGGGGTCAGTGTTCGGTTCTGTTCTGGTGCCTGTCCTCGCAGTGTCTGAGCCACTTCTGTCTGTAATAAATTTATCCTCACAGCCCCCATATGGGGCAGGGTCATGCTCTTACTCTGTTAGGCAGCTGAAGCTTAGGGAGATGCACCTGCAGATGGAATTCAGAGAAGATAAATGCAGAGTAAATACACCTGGAAAACAATCCCAACTCTACTATCAAATGATAGACTCTAAGTTAGCTGTTACCACCCAAGAGAGAGAGGGTTCTCTGGAAACAGCCACTCAATGTGCAGCGGCAGTCAAAAAAGTGAGTAGAAGATTGGGAATCATTAAGCAAGGGATAGAAAACAAAAGAGAAAAATTAACTCGCCTCTCTTCTAAATCCATGGTGTGCCCACATCTTGAATACTGCGTGCTAATGTGGTCACCCCAGCTCTGAAAAAGATACTGAACTTGGAAAAGGTTCCAAAAAAGGCAACAAAAATGTTTAGGGGTATGGAATGGCTGCAATGTGAGGAGAGATTAATAAGCCTGGGCCCTTTCACCTTGGAAAAGGTGGCTTAGGAAGACAGGATCGAGGTCTATAAAATTGTGACTGGTGTGGAGAAAGTAAAGAAGGCGGTGTTATTTGCTCCTCATAACACAAGACCTAGGGGTCACCAAATGAAATGAACAGGCAGCAGGTTTAAAACAAACAAAAGGAAGTATTTCTTCACACAGTGCAGTATTTCTTCACACAGTGCACAGTCCACCTGTAGCACTCCTTGACAGAGAATGTTGTGAAGGCCAAGCCTATAACAGGGTTCAAAAAAGAGATAAATACGTGGAGGATTGACTTAAAAAAACAACAAATAGCTTTGCAGCACCTTAGAGACTAACAAAAAATGCTGATGGTATCATGAGCTTTCGTGGCACGACCCACTTCTTCAGATGAGTGGAGTTACAGGGCGCAGATTGCAAATAAACAGCAGAGAAAGAGAGAGGATGGGGAGGAAAAGAGAAGGGAAAAAAATTGTCAATTAGAGTGTCCACGGCAGCCACTCAGAGTGGGTTCTAAGCACACGATAAGTAGCCCGTGCTTGGCATTTCCTGTCAGTAGGGTGTGGCATGTAGCGGGTCATCCAGTTAAGGTCTCTATTACAGGTGTCAAACTTGTAAATGAAACCAAGTTCTGCAGCGTCCCTCTCCAGCTGGAGTTTGAAATTACCTTC